TATATATGTTTTCTTTTCCATATCTAAACTCTGATTAAATAATGACGGTAACACGGCATAAGTAGACACTTGCACTTGTTCCTTGTTCCTGGTTCGTAAAATAATTTATCATAACATGGCTTTATCTTTTTGAAATGTATAATTGTCAGCAGGACATTCATGGAAAAACAACCTTTGGTGATGCTAATTCGGTGATGCTAATTAGCTTAGCATCGTGGTTAAGTGTTTATGTTGATCTTGCAGAGCTAGACTGGCACTGCTGCCTTCCTGCAAGAAGGTTGAATGTTTGAATCCCAGCCTGGGATCTTTCTACATGTGCATGCCTGGCTTTCCCTGTGCATGCCTGGCTTCCCCCCTGGTTACTTCCTCTCACAGTCTGAAAGCATGACTGTTTGGTTTGTTGGCTTCTATAAACAGACTAGCGACGTGTCTAGGGGGTGCCCTGCCTTGCCCAGATAGGCATCGGAAACCACCACAAGCCTGAAGGATAAGTGGGAAAAGATGGATGGATGGATGTTGATCTTGCAATTAATCAATCAATTTCACCTATAAAAATAAATCAACCTGTATGATTAGAAAACTAGAGAATTATCTTAATAAATGCAGTCATTGATCTGACAGAAAAAAGTAGTTTATCTTGAATCAACTTTTTGCATAAAAATTTCAGCTGATCTCTTCTTCTCTCTCATAATTATTAATCTTTACTAATAACTATAAAACTGTCCGGTAATTGTGTTGCATGTGTTCCTTGTCTGATCAATAAAAGATAGGCCAGTGGTCTTAAACTGTAGAGCTAACTGAAACTATAAGTTAATTGGTTGTATACTGTATATATTTTTTTCTTCCTCCAAAATTAACAGCATGGGTTTTTTTAATGATACAGGGAATGCTATCAGGTGTTGAGCCCTAACGTAATATTGGTGTTTACAGTATAAAGGTTAAATCTTAATCTGACTGACTGTCATAGGTAAAACTTCTTACTTCTTAATGATGTTGGAGAACAGAATCGATCCAATATGACTGAACTCAATATTTATTAAAAAAGATGAATAAAAACATTTTTCATTTCAAAATGTAGCAAACAGATAGACCATAACATTTTTAAGACCTGCTTCTTAGATTACAAAAAAAAAAAATGGTTCTGAATAAATTCAGGAAGTATAAATATGATTGCAGGCTGATCCTTCTGAATTCCTTAATCCACACATCAGGCATTTTGTCCCTTTTTCTCCCTCACTCATTGAGTTTTGATGGAGCAACTGCAGCATTTGGTCAACAAACACAGGGAAACAAAAACAAAACAATAATGCTATACCTACCACAGCACCATTGTCATTTGTAACAATCCCTGACTACTAATCCACCAGGGACTAACAATACTGGAAAAGGAAACAGATACAGACTCACTTCCTGTCTCAGCAGTTAAATTTAGGAACCAGTCAAAGCCTTTTTTGGTTTGTTTTTCTGGAATCACTCAAATGCCCAAATGAAGGGCACCGTGCACAAACTGGAGATTGTCTGAGATACAGACAAAACCCATTCTTGTGCATTGTTTGAACGGATGTGAAGGAAAACAAAAGGAGTTGGCAATGTTTGACTTTTCCTCAAATGAGCTCTCTGCAGCGTAAACAAAAAGTCATCGAAAGAAGCCACATGCAATGCTACAGAGCTCAGCCTGACTTAATCTAAAAATACAGATATTACATAACTTTACTGGCCTTATCCATCCTGCACCTTCTATTTCAAGGCCTGTTCGGCCCTTGCTAATCAGTGAGGAAATGAACATTTGAGATTTGTAGGGTGAAATTCCGTCCGCCTTCTCAACTTCTCAAACCACATTTGTGCATGGGTGATTCTTGTCTAATCAGGGACACCTTCTAGAGACAGGTAGAAATTTTATGTTGTTTAGCACATAGAAAGAATCTCAGCCAGGCCTGTCACAACAATCGCCTTCCAAAAGTATCAGAACTCGATTTTAAATAGTGAAATGTCTTTGGATTATGCACTCAGTATAGATCTGATAGATAATAGTTGGTTACAAACTGAAATGCTTCGATAAAGATAGACTTACAAGGGGAGCATTAGCAGGTAAGAGAAAGAAAGAAAGAAAGAAAGAAAGAAAGAAAGAAAGAAAGAAAGAAAGAAAGAAAGAAAGAAAGAAAGAAAGAAAGAAAGACGTCCTGTTTACCGTTTGCCATGTAAATGACGCCTTAAACAAAACTAACCATGAACACTGCATCTCTTCAGTGAAACATGGTGGTGGCTGCATCATGTGGAGGTGCCATTCTTCTGTAGTAACAGGGAACTGGTCAGAGCCAATAGGAAGTGCAGGAATGAAAACCACTTAGAGTAGGAATAATACATGAGACGGCATGGATAAAGTTCACCTTCAAGAATTAAAATGAGACTAAATCTAAATCCTGATACCATCCATCCATCCATTTTCTGTCATGCTTTATCCCAGCTGGGCTCGCAAGGGGGGCTGGTGCCTATCTCCAGCTGTCTACGGGTGAGAGGCGGGGTACACCCTGGACAGGTCACCAGTTCATCACAGGGCAACACAGAGACAAACGGGAAAAACAACCATTCATTCACACACTCATACCTAAGGAGAATTTAGGGAAGCCAATTAACGTAACAGTCATGTTTTTGGACGGTTGGAGGAAGCTGGAGTACCCGGGGAGAACCCACATATGCACAGGGAGAACATGCAAGCTCCATGCAGAAAGACCCCAGGCAGAGAATCGAACCTTCTACCTTAGCTGCAAGGCAGTAGTGCTACCCACTGCTTCACTGAGCAGCTCACAATTAAACCCAGATACCATAAAATAAAATGTATTTTTCAGTAAGTAGTGTTATCACATACTGATCATTTTAACCTGGTAAGATAAAAAAAAGTGACTGTAATTGCAGTAAATGGAAACTTTACAAATGTTTGACCGAATTTATCTTTCTATTTACTGTAAATAAGATTTATCTAAAGAATGTGCTTTAATCGGCTGTATTCACGGATAAATTGAGAAAATGTATAAACGTTGGCTCACACAATGTCAGGAAGTAAAGGTAGAAGTGACCTCTGAACTCAGACACGCCCTGTATAACTGTTGGAAATCATTTTACAGATAAGTCCAGATAAAGCTTATTTCCACATAATAGTATTATTTGAGTATTTATCACAGCTTTAGATAAAGCCTATTTCTTATACTTTCTTCTAAGCACTCCTTTAAAACATTTTTGCCCCTTCTGGTTGCTTTGGTGAAGGAAAGGAGTCTAGACATCACACATAATCAAAAGAGTTACTGACATAAAGGTTATTAATGCCCCATTGTTCTGAGAGAGGAACCATAAGTGGTTTTGAAGCTTCTCAGAGTTTTCAGTGGAAGCACACAATGAAACAGATAATAAAAATTCACCTCACAATCAAAAGTCAACCTGAAAGTTTAAGAGTGTTTAGTCTGTAAAAAGAATAGAAAAGGGACTCGTTTTTTCCTGTCTTTTAACCTATAAGTACATAATGTAAAAAGACTCCCCCACAAATTTGTTGCTGGCTTGGGCTGGCAGCCGCAGGTCGACCTCTGCAATGTGTTCCTTGACCCTCTCGGCTTTTTCGCTGAAAACAGAATAAATCACAAAAAACACGCATGCGCCCACAATGGAAACTGGAGATAATAGGACCGCTTACAAGTGCCAGCAGAGTTCGGCGGCAGACATTAAACCTGGTAACTTTTGTTTTCTCACCGGCCAATTCATCCCTAACATGGGTGTGTGCCAAAAACACATTCCTCTCCAAAAGGCCGAAGCATCCCCTTCCCATCGTTATTGAAAAATTTGTGGTAACCCAAAGGAAAACTAAATCATTTAGCTGTTTGCTCCCATTTTTCTGTAACCTCAGCCACAGTTCAAGCTGTTCTGAGACAGGTTCACTTATTTTTTTTATAATAATCCCTTTTTATTACCATGGAAAACTGTTTATCATAGGACCTCTTTGAACCGAAGGTGTTGCACTGCTGAAAAAAAAAAAATCCCAACGCTGTATCAGATCACAAATAAGCAGGTTTTGCTGAGGGTGCTGATGTCAGAGTTTTATAAGTTCCTCTACACAAGAAAATAAGCATTAACAGCCAGGCCTCTCTAGGGGAAATTAAACACAGCACATAACGCTGCTCCAGCTCGCACAAGCTAGTGCTACTGTATAAGTGATGCCCTCTTTTCACTGCAAAGCCATAACCCCATGATTAGAAAACAGACATTAAATCAAAGTTATTTCCCTCCACTGGTTCCCTTGGCAAGCTGCGCTGATGATATCATGAAAAACTCTTCCATATCTTTATATTTCTATTAAGATTTTGTGCTGTATAGGGAAAGTATATTGTTGGATAAAGAAACCCCCCCTCCCCCCCAAAAAAAACTCACCCTTGTTGTTAAATGAAAGAGAAATGGAGACACAATAGATCATCTTGAACCTTATGAGAGAACAAACAGCGAAGTTTTGTCTTCTTTAGACTTTATTATGTACTTACATCATCATGTTCAATAATGAAGAATTATTTATTAATCTAAAAGCAATAAATATATCGACTAGCATTGACAATACTACAAAAATACCTTTAAATACTGTATATTTTTCACCCCCACTTATCGAATGTGTACATTTCTGTACCGATTCTTGTTCATTCATTGTGCAATTACTAAATCTTTTTTTTTTTTTCATGCTTTACAAACCTGAAACTTCAATGTATTCTATTAGTACTTTATATAAAAGACCAACACATAATAGTGCAAAAATATGAAGTTAAAGAGGAAGCCTATATCTTTGTTCTTTTTATAGTTTTATGTTGAGAGGGGGGATACTTGTCTGGGGAAATCGATGGCAGCTCTAGAGCTTCCTACAGGAAAACCTGTAGGAAGCTCTAGTAGTGTCCTTTCTAAAGACTTAAATACACACCACACTTTTCAGTTACTTGTTTAAAATAAATGTAGAAAAAATATATATTTGGCTTCGTCGGTCTTCCCACCACCTCTGAGCAGCTTCAGCATCCCTGCAACCCCACAACATGACGCTAGCACCACTTTGTTTCAAGGTGGGGATGGTGTGTACAAGGCAACAGAAACCATGCATAATTTTCTTTTTCTGCGTCAACTTGATAGAAACCCAATATTGAATTTTGTGGTTGTTATGTAACAAACAATAAAAAATAATATGTTTGGAAGGTACTGCAGCTATTACTCATTAAAGTTTCCAGCTATGAAATCAACAAGTACTTGTAGAGTTATTTCCTTCATAGTTTAAATGCTATGGTCACTCTAAGTAGCGTTCCATCCCACTAGGCTCCTCTTCCCATCCCCTCTTGCCCTTCCAAGGCCACATCTTTAACTTTTGATTGACCAGAGCTCACTGGGTGAAAAGAGATAAGCATATTGTGTGAGTGCATGCATGCGTGCCTGCATCTATGCCGTAATTATCCTTCTGGGAGCCAGAGACCAGTACATTCCACAGAGAGCACAAATCCATTAGGAGAGAACAAAGTTCCAGGAGACTCTTGGGATTGCAGTGCAAATCTCAGAGGAATATGTTTAAATCTAAATTTCCTTGCATAAACACTAAGTAGTTCCCTTTGCCAGACCCCTCCGCTTATTTTTTCCACATCAAATGGCTATTAAACATAGCCCGGAAGGCATCTTATGACTTAAATCTTGTTGTTGAGTCACATTTCTTTGCCTTTGGCACTAGGTTCACAAAAAAAAATCTTCATTTTGAAAAGGTTTGTTTATCAAAAGAAAATAATATAAAATCTCCAAATGTCTGTCTGCCTCTAAGGGACGGAGTTCACAGTGCAGTGGTTGTTGTACCACGATCCTTTAAACTGTGTTCTCCTGTTAGTTAAGTGTCATGTGCAGGCATACCAAGAACAAAAAGAAAGTGCATAAAGCTAATATCAAACATAGTGTTTCTGGTTTGTATGTCCCTTAATGGCACCTTTCAGATGTTTTTCTGTTTGATGTGAATGTTTTGAATGATTGCTTCGTTTAGAATGTGTTTTCCTTGTGGATTTCATGCAGTTCACGTAGCTTGGAAGCAAATTGTCCACTGCCTCTTCCGCTTCCCAGTTCACCTCTACTACCGCATCAGCATAGCTTTCACAAGGGTTGCTAGGGGATTCAGCCTCCCCACCCTGCGTGGGACCGCTGATGTCTCTTCCAGAACTGTAAGCCCGGGACTCCTCCATTTGAATTGCTGGAGTTGTTTGGACCCGCTCTGATCGAGGTAGGTAGTCCTGATGCCGGTCCTCCAGCCGATAGGAGATGGCTAGCATCAACAGATGGATGAGTTCAATAAAGTTGAGTAAAAGGGAAATGCCAGCAATCACCTGAGTGTAGATTGTGAAAATGGTTTTCTCTGTGGGTCGAGAGACAAAGCAATCCACGGTATGAGGACACGGGAATCCATTGCATTCATACCTGGCTGCCATGAAGAAGCCGTCATATAGGAACCAAAGTCCGACAATAAATCCCGCCTCTATGAGGACCTTTAGGAAGATGCTGAATGCATATGCCCTAAGAAGGGCCCCTTTCAGTTTTGGAGCCTCAGGACATGCCTTAGATGTTAAACCATTCCCAAAACGATGTCCCTCCTCTTTCTGTCCTGCATTATATTTGCTAACACTTGTATCCTCTGTCCTTTTTACCATGTCACTGTTTTTACTCCCAACTTCCCCTCTGCTCTCTTTAGTTTTTGTGTCCTTCCCTCCTTTAATAGCCACATATCCAAAGTAGAAAATGGTAGGAGTGGAGACAAAGATGACCTGGAGCACAAAGTAGCGGAAGTGGGATATGGGGAAGGCTCTATCGTAGCACACAGCCGTGCAGCCGGGTTGCTTCGTGTTGCAGACAAAGTCGGCTTGCTCGTCATCCCAAGCCGATTCAGCAGCTGTTCCCAGGACCAGCATGCGAAAAAGGAAGAGAACAGTGAGCCAGATTCGGCCAATTGCAGTTGAGTACTCTTGGCCCTCCTCTAGCAGGTGTTCCAGGAAGGACCAATCAGCTCTGGACATCCTCTGCTCCTGAGGAGAAAAGATTATAGGCAGGAGACAATGTAACTAATTAGAATATCAAAATAATACTAGAAAATATAACTAAACATCTGATGACACTGAATGAAAGTTCTTTTTGAAACAAGAAAAAAACTATATATTTTCAACAGCCTGACTAAGAGACAATGCTGAGATAAACCAATTTACTCAGAAGCTTAAAAACACAAACAAAAACATGAACCAAGTGCAGGAGAAAGATGCTTGTCCGTTTAGAAAAAAATTCAATGACCGGCGCTTAAAATCGGTGGGCTTGGTAATGACCTACAGCTCGCCAATCGTAGCCCATCATGTGAAAATTGACGGATTTCCAAGCTCTGCTTATGAATTGATAAATGTCTAGTAAGAACTCTATCCAGGGTAGTAAAGGAGCTGCAGACTGCTGCATTAAATCCAGACAACCTTTAGCTAGACACACATCAAAGATGCTGGTAGATTTCGGAATACAGCTTTCAAGAAAAGAACTACAAAAAACAAAATAAAACTCTTACTTCTAAACCCCAAATATATGAAGGTCAAGTAAAACATTCTTACTAATCTGTATAGCTACTACTGATGTGTGGGAACATCAGAAGGTCCCAATGCTAAATGCATTGGTGTTAAGAAGCATCCCACTTCCAAGTCCTAGCTCCTTCCTAACTACCAGCACAATTTGGATAGGAATTACTTTTGCATAAGCTAAAGTATCTTTACTCATTCAAGGTATTTGGATCAAACCCCTGTGTGGTAAAGCAGCCTCTACTTTAAAGAAAGAAAAAACATCTCTCTTCCCCCTGCTTTGATAGAGGAAAACATTTTGAAAGGATGAGTATATCAAGACTGCACATGGGGCTGCATGGTGGTGCAGTTTGTAGCACAGTACACTTGCACCAAGGAGGTTGTGGGTTTGATTCCTCACCTAGAGTCTGCATGGTTTGCATTTGGCATCCTCCCACAGTCCAAAAGCAGACAAATAGATTATGGGTGACTAAAATCCAGGAGTTTAAAATCATCATGGTGTGTTTCCCTGTACAAAGACTGCAGTAGATAAGCGCCTGTGAGCTGGACAGGCAATGGAAGATGGATGAACAGTTTGAGAGAAATGTATAAAAAATATATATATTATTTAAATATTCCCAGTCATACACCATGTAATAATTTTGTTGGTTGGTACTAAGGTTAAAAACCATAACCTGATCTATTAGCATGAAACTGATGTGCATGTAATTAGTTTTTACAGTGCACACAATTTTTTCCATAAATCCTTTAGTTTTGCCCAAATTGTAAACAAGCAATAGCTTCTTGTTTGATAGAAACTATCTTAAGTCACTGAGCCTTAGCTGCAAAACTCAGACCTCAGATGTAAGGTCACATGCTTCTATCCATGCCTATTGTGTTGGTTTCATTCTACAGCCTTAGGTCTGAGAGTCAAAATAGACAGGCCATTAGATCTGCCTACTCAGTCAAATCAATTAACAGGAAAAAGATGTATCTGTTGTATTAAACTATGACTAATGTGAACTAGATCCAAAGTTTGGCCTAAAAGTTTTTACAACTTTTCAGTTATGTTCAGAATTGCAGCTCTAACCTTTTATGTTTGTTTTTCTGGAGCTTAAAGCTATGTAAAAAGAGCACCAAAGGAAAGACTAAGTTGGCCATCAATGCATAATACAAACAGCAAAGCTAAATAAAAGTACTGATCGCATAGTCTGACAATTTCACATAGTTCAAGTAAAGATTTTATCATTGAAGTAACAAATTGTGTTTCATCAAAGTCTCTCAGCCTTTGTTTTTGTTGCTTTTCATGAAGCCAAGATTCTGAGTGTCATTAATTTATTACCCAACTAATTATTTAACTTCAATCACAAAGAAGTATCTGCTTGTTACAGATTGCATTTTTTTTTGTTTTGTTTGCACACTGATATCTTCAGATCCTTAAACAAATATTAATACAGTGAATATAAAATGCAGTTTTCAGATGATGATTTAGATTATCAATTAAAGACAACCATCCAAACCAACCTGGTCTCACTTAAAAAGTAATTGCCTCCTAAAATATAACACCAACCAGGGTGTTGAGCAGTTAGTCATTTGACTTACTCTAGAGGAATTTTGGCCTAGTTAGTTTAAGTTCCTTGTACAGATTCTCCATACTCTTCATCATCCTAAAAGATTGAAGTTAAGAATCTAGGTGTCAAAAATGGATTAGAAATGGTGGTGCATGCTTTTTTTCTCATCTCATTTGGACTATTGTAATAGTATTTTTTCTTTCACAGCAAATCAGATTAAATTGTCTTTAAACTGCCCATAATGTGAAGGAAATAGAAGAGAATACTGTTCATTTGCATGTTCTGGCCTCCTTGCACTGCTTCCCTGTACATCAAAGGACTAATGGCAAAGCTCTTGAAAACATCCATAACGTATTTAGATTTTACTGTTCACCTCGAACTTGGAGATCATCTGACCAGACTTTTTATGCTGAGACCACAGACTCATTTTAACACTCGTGAGGATCCAACTTTTCAGGCAATGGCCCCAAGGCTCTGAAACTTTCTCTTCTCTTTATGACCCCCAGTGACTCTTTTAGGAGGCAGTTAAAGGCATCTTTACAACTACTGTCTTTCAGTTAGATTGCTGCATTTGTTTTCAAAGAGTAATATTCTTTTTTATTATTTTTTTTATGAAGCACTCTGTGATTTTAATGTATTTGAAAGGGGATGTAGAAAAAAAATACTACTTACTTCATTACTCATTAGCAGACCTGGGTGTGAAAACTAAAACTGAACCAGAAAATGTTGTTTATCACAGTCCATTAGGGATTTAACTAGAAATAGTCACTCTTTTGTATCGGGCCACGTGGATTTGGGACCCTTTTCATGGCTGAAATAAATAATTAGAAACCAACTCCTTGAATTTATCCTTGTGATATAAACAAGTTTGTTTCATCATTGCTTAAGCAAATTATAATAAATATGCCAAGTGGAATTTATTTTAGTGCCTAAATTCTACATGTTTTTCTGGATTTAAAATGTGTTTGACAAGATAAAGGAACTTTATATAAGCACATGATGTTGCAGCACCTCACAAATAAAGCCTTTATTCAAAGGCTCAAAAAGTGCTTTAAAGGGAATATAAAAGAGACGTGAAGCTTGGAAATGCGTGGGGAAAAATGAAAAGCTTACTTTTGATAAAGAGACTGTTTGTTAGTAGTCTGGACTGAAGGACAAGTCATATAAATACAGAAAAACCCATTCATTAGCGATCGTAACTAAATGCTGTAGTAGTTCAAAGATGATAAAGTGTACTGGCAAGAATCAGTCTAACGAATGAAACAGCAAAACCCCAAAAATGTAATTTCCTTTTCGTTAAAAATAATAATAATGATAGAGTGTTCTTGTTTTGGATTGATTTAATATGTGAAAATCACACTAAAAAGAATAGATTTTGAAATGAGACTAAAAGCATTCCAACATGTGGCTATTTTTACTGCATAAGAAACTTTCCGTTGGGATGTTTATTGTCAGGGGTTCTAAAATTGGTATGTGGTTTCCAAATAAGTTTGCTCTTTCCTATAAATCCCACAACAAAAAAGACGGTAAAATAACTGAAAAATAATACAAAGTGAAACTTTTTTAAATGAATGTTAAAGCGAAGCGGATGAATTTAGATTAAGCAATTACACATAACTGAACACTTTTAAATGTAAGATGTGTTACATCTATCGTTGTAGTTTAATTTTAGGACATATAGGAAAGCTATATGTTGAGACTGGCTTTATAGTGCTACCTAAAAACTACATTTTATTTCCATGACAAATTTCTAACAGTTTTGTAGAAGAAAACAACAAGTGGTTGGTTGTTTTATTCAATAAGTAACAAAGAGAGCTAATTTTCTACAAACCTTTCAGCAAAAAGGCATGTGTATCTGGCTGCAGTGCCTTATTAGTTCT